GCGATTCTAGATTTGAAGCTTTCGTGACTGCAAGGATTCATATTCTCAGGTTTTTTCGGTAAAGTCACGTAGGTAAAAAATTCAAATTAATAAAAGTAAAATAAAAATAAAATAAACTAAAAATCACGACGTTTCGGAGGCAACACAAGCTTCCGTCTTCAGGTGGAACAGTCACATCACGATAAGAATCGTGCTGTGACTGTTCCTATCGTGCTGTGACTGTTCCACCTGAAGACGGAAGCTTGTGTTGCCTCCGAAACGTCGTGATTTTTATTTTATTTTTTATTTTACTTTTATTAATTTTAATTTTTTACCTACGCGACTTTACCGAAAAAACCTAAGAATACTTAACGAAGCGTTTCGTGAAAGTATGCCGAGTTTGTGATCTTGTCACGTGGCAAGAGTCGATTGTGTTTCGAGGCGCCGCGTCATTTGGGCTCATTTTTTACGAAGCTCCCGTGTGCTCGCTCTCTACCTAATGGCGCTTGTATGAAATAGACCCCCGTCAATGTACATTACCGAGCCCCTGTGTAACGGCGACACGCGTTTTATGGACAATCAATGTGGAACGCGATACGACATTTTTTCTCAAACCGATTAAAAGGCGCGAGCGACGAAAGCCTGTCGGGAAAAAGCCACGCCGGTTCGGAATCTTTGCTGTATTATCTATCAACAATGTCACATCTCCTCCCTTTGGCAGGCTCTGGCTGATCAAGGGTCGACTTCCTTCCACCGTGGCACCCGTGTGTTCTGAGATGACTGAAGGGCCCAACATGTGAGATGCACAGAGTCTGCCGCAGGTGGGGCGGGAGGTGTTGGGCGCGATGGATCCGTGGGTGGGTGGGTGGTCGTGAGCTGCAGAGCACTCGATTGGCTTCCTTATGCGCTCGCCGGTGAGACTCAAGATGCACGATGCCAACCCGAATGCTTCTCCTTCCAAGTTTGTGCGATCTGGAGCCGATGTAGATGTCGCATTTTTTTTGTCAACGCCGTGACGTGGCGTTGACGCACGACCCGGCGTTTGACTTGCAATCCGCGCGTCAAACACATTGATGTGAAATAAAAGCTACGTTTGGAGTTTACATTATTTATATATGGTTGTATTTTGGAGCTGAACAGGTGGCTCAATGGTAGACTCGGCCCATCATCTCTCTGGGATTCGAGAAATTAAGTACCACTTTGTGGGGAAGTCAACAGAAAGAACCAAGAAGATGAATCCCTGCCGTCACGAAAGCTTTAAATCGAAATTTAAGTCAACAGTGGTTGCCCAATGGAGAGGCCTTCCTCCCACCGTAAAAATTGTGAATTTACACCACTGGGTCATGGCTGTAAAGGGGATATGAGCACCACCTCAATGCCCATTTGAGCAGAATGCGTTTTATTTTTACATGTTCTACACGATCTTTTTCCTTTTCGCCTTGGTGGACAGCTTAAGAGCGCGTACCCTGAGGGGTTTTTATGATTACCTTTATTTAATTCACTTAGAGTTTTGCCCCGTTGCATGCCCGATTAAGCAAAAACAACAGAGAGCTCCCAGATGTGTGGAGTTTACAAGCGGCTTCGCAGTACGACGAACAAATACCTGGCACGACACATACGCACACACCCGTCCTGGCTGCTTGCAACTCGGTAAACATGTAAAACGCGCACCGCTGGAAGTCTTCTCGCAAGCACCCATGCTGCCACACTTTGAAGGTGCAAAGGCTGCAGCAGCGAGTGACACCGCTCAATGTTTGTTCTGCGTTTTCAAATACATGTTTTTCGGGTCCGAGGTGGGTGCAGCAGTCACGGAAAACTCCCCACCCCCTTCCTTCATTAAACGCGCAGCGAGCAGTCGTGATGAAGATTGACCAAATAACCCAACTGACCAATTTGGGAGTAAGCAGGCAGGCCTTGATCTAGCAGTGGATCGACAAAGGACTGTCCTGTAAATTAATTTAAAGGTCCGTAAGTACCGTTGTGAAAAGCTCTGTGATTTCCAGCTCAATTTAGCACGAGGCAGTGTCCATCTCCTGTATACATCCCCGAGCCAGTGGGGGACATTCCTCATTCCTATGGCGGGGACAAGTCTTTCCATAGGACAACGACGATGGCTCTTCCACACATCGTGGTGCTCATGTTATCAACCCTGGAGGACTGAACAAACCCGACTTCTTGATCAGAATGAGAATATTTATTTATACTGGAGAAATCCAATGAGCTTTTTCTTCACAGATGTCTCGTAGAGCTGTCCACTGTACTTCTGTACGCTCTACTTCCAAGCCATCCAGCCAGATCTCGTGGCCGGAGAAGTGAAGGGTGGCAGAGGATAAATATTGGCAATCAACATCAGTCATTTCGATTTAAAGCTTCCGTGACTGCAGGGATTCATCTTCTTGGTTCTTTCGGTAAAGTCACGTAGAATGGAAATAATAAAATAATAAAAATAAAACATAATAAAATAATTCTCACGACGTTTTGGCCACAACGCAAGCAGCCGTCCTCAGGTGGAGAACAGGTCTGTCGGGGAGACAGCGTCCTCAGGTGAAGACCAGGTCTGTCTGCCCGACAGACCTGGTCTTCACCTGAGGACGGCTGCTTGCGTTGTGGCCGAAACGTCGTGAGAATTATTTTATTATGTTTTATTTTTAATATTTTATTACTTCCATTCTACGTGACTTTACGGAAAGAACCAAGAAGACGAAACATCAGTCATTGCTTATCCACCACTGGATAAAGGTCTCCCAAAGCCGACGCTGTCGCTCACGAATCTGAGATGTAACAATCCACGTACAACCTGCACACGATAATGGTTGCACGGCTTCATCTCCTCGGTTGGTGTCCTCTCTTATTCGCTCTATTCCCACGGCTGCCACTCCATTGCTATCATCCCGTCGAGTGAAGCTTCATTCGCGCCTTGAATTTACGTCTTAAATATGACAGAAATATGAACCAAACAATTATTCACCTCGTTACTATGACATGGATCGGTAAATTCGATGCAGCGGCCAATGAAAGAGCCGTGAGTATTGGCACCTTTGTGCCAAGACGCATTACAAAAGCCATAACGCCGCATCGATGACATCCGTGCACGTCTTGAAATTTCACGAAGAGCTCAAACAAGTTTTTTTTGTATCCCACCCACTAGGTTGAGGCGTGCAAATCCAACTCGTATTTTTTCCCCCAGAAAACAACGATGACAGGTTAATAAAAAAAAGAGATATATATACACATTTTACCCGACCAACACAAACAAGCGTTTTCTATTCAGTGTGGCAATGCTATTTTCCCTTTAGTTTCGTGAAAAATAAGGGGTTTAATTCACCTCGTTGACATTGTGAAAAATGTATATTTAAAAAATATATATGACTTTTTAACAATCAGCATTTGCTTTGGGTGTTTAATTAATGCACTTGCTTGAAGCAACCACCCAACTCTTCATTATTGATCGGGCGGTATTGATCACAATTTAACGTCGAACACTCGACAAGAATGCATCTCGTCCTTAAACACTTCCAGCGAGTGTGAAGCATCTGAGGACAGCCTTTTGACCTCAAAATGTCACATTCCTGTCTCAAAAGACCTTGCCAAAGGTCTGACATTTATGCCAATAGGGGTTGTCCTTTGCGGACGACGGATACATATGGAAGTTTATATATTTTATGTTCATCTTTGCTGCCACAATTTCTCTCCCCTGCTTTGTCAATGACTTTAGAAAATGAATGTGCACATTAAATTGCCATGTTAGCATGTATGAGACGGAGGGCAGTCTGGCTTCATATGCATTCAATACATTCCAGAGAAAAGACAAAGCAATCGAGTGTGCTTATTTGTAACAAAGCTCTTGCTCTGAAAGAAAAGCAAAATCCAGATGCATTTCATGACCCTAATTATTAATCAACGATGCCATAGTTATTAGTTTTTTTCTAACTTGTGTGTGTGTGTGTTTATGTAACAAGGTGGCTCTGCAACGAAATTGAATGACATTTGAACAAGCCTCTTCTGTCGCTGCAGGAAGCACAGCCTCGAGCTAATTACTTAAACCAAATTCAATTCCCTTCCTTTTAAGCATTCTAAACGCATCTGCAGAACAGCGGGTTACCAGATCAATACAGAAATGAGGAACGGAGGGATGCGCGCACACACACACGCACACACACACGCGCACACGACACTTACCTGCAGAGTTATTGGAACATCGGAGCTGCAACGTGACTAGTTTTGTCCTCTGTGCGATAACCTTGCGAGTGTGACTGACGGCCGGGCTCGAGAATGCACCGGACTGGCGAGCTTGTTGTTGCTGCTGCTGCTGCTGGGAGCGCCGCTGTCCGTTACCGCGCGAATCACGAACCAGAGATTCCAACCTCGGGCTTCATCGCCGCGACCAATACAAAAATTACCAAGGGGGGTGGGTGGGAGTTGCACACGCGCATCGCTGCGATGGCGAATGAGCCCGCGCCTTTGCTTGGATACTAGAAGTTTTTTTTGTTTTGCGCGTGCAGAAATATAATTCAGCGGGTGTGTGTTGTTTACCCAAAATAAGTTTGCCTCTACGGAACGCGTTCGCCAACTGGCCACGGCAACGACAATTCGACAATCGGGACGATGGCGGCGGTGATCGGAAATGAATCGACCGCCCCCCCTCCTCCCTCCCTCCGTCCCTCGTGTGACAGAAACGCATTAGACGAAATGTGCGTCTGAAATACGCAGGGTGGGTTTCCAACGTGTCGAGTTTAAATTGTATACTTGGTTGTTGCATTGCTTAAAAAAACCGAATATATTTTAATTAGCAGTCTTTTCCAGGGAAACCTTATTCAAATGTATATTTTTTTCTTGGGTCTTTCGGTAAAGTCACGTAGGTAGATAGGTTAAAATATTTTACCGAAAGACCCAAGAATAATATATAAGAAAATGTATTCCTGCCGTCACGAAAGCTTTAAGTCCTTATTCAAATTATTATTTTCTATTTGGACACATTTCATGCAACAAAAAAAAATGAAATCGATGAGAAGTTCACTTACCCTGGGTAACGCGAGCTTGAGCCGTGCAAGAGAAAGTAATTGGCTACTTAAGCGGAGTCATTTTATCATCACAAAGAGTGAAAAAATAAATTCGTCCTTAATAAAATAAAATAAACTGATCGAGGCTGTCTTTGTCGTAGCTGTCCGAAGGCATGCCCAGCTTTCAGAGAGAGAGGAAAAACCGTGAAGAAAACTAAAAAGACGATAACATTTTGTATAAATATCTTCTCCCAGCTTATCTTTCGCCAGATGAACCAACGAAGAAAATGTGCTTCAACCGGCGCGTCCTTCTTGTCAGTGCTTGCGGAGACGTACGAACACACACACACATGCGATAAATGCGTCCAAATGCTCCTAATCTTCACAGCGGCACGTGGAGGATGACTGGGACATCCCTAGTAATAAATAAATAAATCATAAGGCGCGTGACACGTACACACGCTGTGTGTGTGTGCGTCTCAACGTCGATCGCCAGCCCGTAGGGTTTTTTTTCTCTCTCTCTCCCCTCCAGATAGAGGCGTTCACACCGCCGAGCGAGCGAGCGTGCGTTGTGAGTGTTGCGTGTGCCGCGCGCGTTCACGTCGCCTGCCCCAGAGCGGCTCGAGACTGCGGGGTCCGCCTTGAGGCTGCGTCGCCTCTCGTGGCGCCGGGGAAGGGCACGTGGCATGCGTCTTCTGGGACAGAATAGGGAGCGGTGGCGCAGCGGTTAGCGCGCTCCGCGACGTACCCTCCCTCCATCCCCAACCCCCCCCCCGCCCCGGGAACGCGAGTTCGATTCCCCCTCACTGCCAACGCCGGTGACGATTATCTGAACCGGTCCTGGGCTTCCCCTAGGTCGACTCGGCCTCCAATGAGTACCTGGTGCGGTGTGTAGTAAACATCGCCGCTGGGGAGACAAAGGGGGCCGCGCGTGGTGCTGGCCACCGACCCCCTCGTGTTCCATAGCGGCCTTAATAGCTGCTCGCTAACAGCACTTGCCCTTACAATCTGTTAAGGCTATACTGGCGCTCTTTCTCTTTGTCTTGTCTGAAACAGGATGTTTATATGCGGAGCCAGAGTGAGATGCAAAATGGTGTAAATGGAAAGAGCCATATTTCGATTTAAAGCTTTCGTGACTGCAGGGATTCATCTTCTTGGTTCTTTAGGTAAAGCCACGTAGAATGGAAATAATAAAATGATAAAAATAAAACATAATATAATAATTCTCACGACGTTTCGGCCACAACGCAAGCAGCCGTCCTCAGGTGAAGAACAGGTCTGTCGAGAAGACAGAGTCTGACTCTGTCTTCTTTATTATGTTTAATTTGTATTATTTTATTATTTCCATTCTATGTGACTTTACCGAAAGAACCAAGAAGTTGCCTCGTTTGTTTGGTTTCCGTTGTCTGAATTTGGTTCCAGGAACGTGCAGCATCCTGGTCCAATGAAATTTGATCGTTTGGTTTGAAACGTGCGAATTTCAAACTGCGGCCTGTGTGACAACCTTCTGTGCTGAAGAACAACACTTCGACGCGTCTGAAACAAAGCATTTCTTGGTGAACAAGAAATGCTTTGTGTGTGTGTGTAATAACGCTCCGGTTACTTTGGAGGTCTAGATTTTAGACAAATTCGTTTGATTCAAGGAGGCGTAGGGCATAGTTACAGCAACTGAGTGTGGCATCTGAGAGTGTGACTCACAGGCTCTATATGAATCTCATGGCAAAACACACGGACACCCGGTGCCACATCTTCTGCGTAATCGCCACTTTGTTGGTGCCATCTTCTTGGGAAACTCTTCTCCTTGATGCTGTGCCAATTAAATGGGCAGACTGGTTGTTGTGGTGGAGACGGGTTCTGTTTGCCAATTCACCACCACCACCATCACCACCACCACCACCATCACCACCATCACCACCACCACCATCACCACCACCACCATCACCACCACCATCACCACCACCATCATCACCACCACCACCACCATCACCACCACCACCATCACCACCACCACCACCACCATCACCACCACCACCACCACCATCACCACCACCACCACCACCACCCACACAACCACCATGAACATCACCCACACAACCACCACCATCACCACCATCACCACCACCACCACCACCACCACCACCACCACCACACCACCACCATCACCACCATCACCACCATCACCACCACCACCATCACCACCACCACCACCATCACCACCATCACCACCACCACCACCATCACCACCACCACCACCATCACCACCATCACCACCACCACCCACACCACCACTACCATCACCACCATCACCACCATCACCACCACCACCATCACCACCACCACCACCATAACCACCACCACCACCACCATCACCACCACCACCACCATCACCACCATCATCACCACCATCACCACCACCACCATCACCACCACCATCACCACCACCACCACCACCATCATTACCACCACCACCACCACCATCACCACCACCACCACCACCATCACCACCACCACCACCATCACCACCACCACCACCACCACCCACACAACCACCATGAACATCACCCACACCACCACCACCACCACCATCACCACCATCACCACCACCACCATCACCACCACCACCATCACCACCATCACCATCACCACCATCACCATCACCACCACCACCACCACCACCATCACCACCACCACCACCCACATCACCACCATCACCACCACCACCCACACCACCACTACCATCACCACCATCACCACCATCACCACCACCATCACCACCACCATCACCACCACCACCACCACCATCACCACCACCACCACCACCATCACCACCATCATCACCACCACCATCACCATCACCACCACCACCACCATCATCATCACCACCACCATCACCACCACCAACATCACCACCATCATCACCACCAACACCACCATCACCACCACCATCACCACTACCACCATCATCACCACCACCATCACCACCACCATCACCACCACCACCACCACCATCACCACCACCACCACCATCATCACCACCACCATCACCACCACCACCACCATCACCACCACCATCACCACCACCATCACCACCACCACCATCACCACCATCACCACCACCACCACCACCCACACCAACTCTCTGATTATCCCCTTGACTTCCAATTTGCTCCAGAAAGGTGGCAGAGTTCAGATCGCAAAAGCTGGTCGCCCCGCTCACTCAGCTGTGCGATAAGGCGGAGGGGAAGAGGCGGACGCGGAGAGAATGATGATAATAAAATGATGAGACGCCCAGAGCAATCTCTCCCCAGCGCACACCGACACGTGTGAATAACGCTGGTCGGCCTGGCCTATTTGTTATGCGCGGAGCAGCAGAAAAAAATCAATGCTCCATGTCTATTGTGTAGCCTCACCACCTCGGGAATTAAAAAAAAAAATGTAAGAGGTGCAGCCCTGCAATTGCGGTAAGAGTACATCCCGTCCTGAAACACTTCCATCGAGTGTGAAGCATCTGAGGACAGCCGTTCTTTTGACCTCAAAATGTCACATTCCTGTCTCTGAAAGACCTTGGCAAAGGTCTGACATTTACACTTAGGGGTTGTCCTTTGCAGACTACGGATACATATGGAATTTTATTTATTTCATGTTCACCTTTGTTGCCAAAATTGCTCACACCTGCTGTGTCAAATAATTCAGAAATTTGACATGCAAATTAAATTGCCAGATTGCGTAACGGATGGTATTTTGGCCTTACTGTATCATGCTGGCTGTACATATGTTTGTTTGTTTGTTGAAATCCGTTCGCACCGTGCTCATCGAAGGTGCATGGGAAGGGCAACAAACGAAACACAAAAAGCAGTTCTAGAGAAATTCGTTTTCAATTTAGATTTAAAAGAGCGTTCCAGACGGCCGCAGAAGCGCATCTCAAAGCCACGCGATGTGGCCTCTGATCGATTGTTAGCCAAGAGCTGCTGCGAGGATAACCGTAGTTCGCGCGATGGTTCATGCTCCTTGACGAGATTAGCGAGGAATTGTCGTTCATTTGTGGAAAGCACTTTGTGTGTAATGAGTGCGACCTTATTATCATGTATTCGTTCCGCAACTGGAAACCAATGCAGCTCTGCGAGCAACGCACGGACACGATCGGATCTTGCCGAACCTGACATGACACGCGCCCAAAAAATGTTGCACACGTTGCAGCTTGCTACTGCTTTTTGCCAGACGTCTCGTAGAGTAGCGAGTTGCAATAATCGAACCTTGTTGATGCTATGCTACGTGCCAACGTGTTGGCTATGTCACGACTCACTCGTGGCCGAATGTGGTGAAGCATGGTCAAACAGCCCCCAAGGCTGACAGTGTGTGAAAGAAGCCTTGATCCAGCTGTGGATTGACAAAGGACTGACAATTATTTTCATAATCATAAACCCATATGCCCTCTTGTACACACGCATGCAAACACACGATATGTGTTCCCTTCTTTATCTTAAAGTAAAATTGCATTTGTAACCATGGATATAATAGAATAACGAGATTTATTTCTACGTAATTTTATTTTTTAAACGTTAAAGTATTGAAACTAAGCAACAATAGAATTAATCAGGAATATACAATGTCACATCACAACAAGGGTAATGTGCATATTGCCGAATATTTATACAGTGAAAAAATATATGTTCTGAATAATATATAGTGCCTCTACAGCAATGGTAACATCTGGCAACCCAGCAGCATTTGTTTAATGAGTCTCACTGCTGATGAGACAGAATACCAAAACCGGTCCAGGGTTTGCTTGAAAAAGCAAATGCTCCTAGATAATATTGGTCTAGATAGCTAAAGCACATCCATATTAGTAAAGTTCAAAGTTCAAAGTTCATTTATTAGGTATAGCCCTGTGAGCCATTCGGCTCTTGAATCGGGTGCAACCGCAACAAACAAAAAACAAAAACATGAACAAAAAAACATCTTAAAGTGACTATCTAAAGTATGTGTGCGTGGGGATACAACATACCACTCCTGTTTATATATGGAAACATTATGACCAAGAGTAATCGGAAATCATGTTTGATGCATAATGTTGCGTGGTTTTTTTTGTATATTAAAGCAATGATAATAACAATATCCGGTTATTTGACGTAATTAAAATATAATTGCTTTTGATAAGCAAGTAGTATGAAAGTGGGTGGCCAATGAACCATCAATGAATTGTCACTTGACTCTGCAACTACAAAGCATCACAACTACTTTGTTTTACTGCTAAATCTCTTGGAACCAAGAGTGACAAGGCTAATGAATGGGCAATTGAGTCCACACAGCATTGCACTCCTTAACGTTCTACCCCGGAAATCAGGCAGTGTGAGTGGGGCTCTGATTTGGGTTAGCACAAAAACAAGATAGATTTGCCTTCTTGAGAAAATAAAAAAAACACAGAAGAAATGCAACATTGTATTTGCTTATTTAATCACCATCATCATCTTCCTCCTCAAAAGCCATGATCAATCCACTTCTGGATTAAGGTGTAGTCACCAACCCTCACGGTCTTGCAAAGGTAGAATCTATTTTGCCCAGGCTTTGGAAGTTAAGCTGGGTGGAGCCTGGTTAGGA